ACTTTAGAAAAGAGTGTGGAGGTTCCTCAAAAAATTAAAAATAGAGCTACCCTATGACCCAGCAATTGCACGTCTGGGCATTTACCCCAAAGACACAGATGTAGTGAAAAGAAGGGCCATATGCACCCCAATGTTCATAGCAGTAATGTCCACAATAGCCAAACTGTGGAAAGAGCCAAGATGCCCTTCAACAGACGAATGGATAAAGAAGATGTGGTTCATATATACAATGGAATATTACTCAGCCATCAGAAAGGATGAATATCCACCATTTGCATCGACATGGATGGAACTGGAGGGGATTATGCTAAGTGAAATAAGTTAAGCAGAGAAAGTCAATTATCATATGGTTTCACTTATTTGTGGAACATAAGGAATAGCATGGAGGACATTAGGAGAAGGAAGGGGAAAATGAAGGGGGGAAATCGGAGGAGGAGATGAACCATGAGAGACTATGGACTCTGAGAAACAAACTGAGGGTTTTAGAGGGGAGGGGGTGGGGGGATGGGTTAGCCCAATGATGGTAATATTAAGCCTCCTTAATTGCATGGAGCACTGGGTGTTATACGAAAACAATGAATCACGGAACAGTACATCAAAAAGTAATGATGTACTGTATGGTGACTAACATAACATAATAAAATTAAAAAAAATAAAGAACCTTGGCTTTAATTTTCCTATTAAAGGGAAAAGGGGAAGAAAGGAGAATTGTGTGTTGGGTAGATAGGTAGATGATCTCTAGGTTCCTTTCTCTATCTTATGTTCTGGTTTTTCTACTGATGATAAAAAAAACCCTCGACACATGAAGGAATATGTGTAAGTAACTAGGATTATTACTATAGCAAAAACTGCTAATTTGGTCTGTTTTAAGAGGAAGAGCCTTCTTAATTAAAAAATAGTTATTTTAGTTCTGTATCCACTTTTTAATTTTTCTTTTATTAAAGATGAGTTAAGTTTGGAAAAGCAGATTCTGATTGCATTTAGCTATATAACTGTATTGTGCCTATAATATCCACCTTTAAATGTGTAAAGTTTGTAGTATCACAGCTGCAGCATCATGTATTTTCTTATTTTCCAAATATTAATACTTGCCCTTTTATTCTCTAAATTAATATAAAACCAGTGACTATATTTTTTAGTCAACAATTCTTACTATGCAAAATATCAGTGTTGGCCCATAGATATAAGCTATCATTTTAATCCTGAAAGTAGTTGTGATAAAAATGTTAAATATCATTATGCAGTTAATAATAAAATAGCTACCAATGTTAAGGGCATACCATATTTTGAGCATAATCCTGAGTAAACTTTTTGTATCTTATAAGAATATGTGTTTTAAAAATACGTGTTATTCCCATTTTGCATCCGAGGCTTCTTTGGAGGTCATATTGAAATGTAATTATCAGGAAGCCTCACACAGTCATTAGCAGTTTTCTGCTTCCATTTTTTTTATCAGATGTGCCTCCTTTTACATTACCTGGTTTATTGTAGGTAGTCAGTAAATGTTTGTGGAATTTCACCACTCTCCCCCTAATTTGCTTTTTCTTTTAGTATATATTTTATGTTGGAATACAGCTTAATAAAAGTCAGTGACTGGTTTAATTATGACTTTGAAAGAAACTAAACTATATCCTGTTTTGAATTAAAATGAGATTACTTCTTCCCCTATCTGATTTATTAGTAATCCTGGTTTCCATTAGCAAGATAGAAAAGATCTATGCTTCAAAGACTGAAAATTTTACTAATGATTAATATATGCTAGCCATTAGATGTTCTGCTTGTTTTTCTCCCCAAACTTCAGATTAAAAGATGAGATTGTATCTTTCTAATTTTAGATTTCTAATAATAACTGGTGAATATGAGCTACTTAATTATATTTTGTTTCTTCAGTAAGGCAGAAGTTTGAGACTTCTCACTCACTAACCCCACCACCACTTCTACCACCCAGCCCCCAGGGACCAATGAGTTGCTATTTTGTACCTGATTTGTCATTAACTGTTTTCATTCATTTTCTCAACCCTTCCTTCTTCTTCCCCTTCCTCCCTACCCCCATTCCTCCCACCTTCACTTTACCCTCTTAGTGAGGGCGTTTGTTCTTTGTCTTTTCAAATTTGTCACTTTAGCTTTTGGTTTTGGGGGTTGATTTGGCAACTTACTCTCTCTTATCAAATAGATATATGATGAGTAGGTTTCATTTATTTAAATCTTTTATAATTAAAAAACAAAGCCATTTCTCCTTGCCACAGAACAGTTGCCATTGCTTCCCCTTTTGGTTTTAGGATTGCAGGAATCCAATTGCTGTGGAAACCAATTATCCCTTCATGACACCTGACTCTCATGAACACCATATGCAGTTAGACTGACAAGTTTGGTGCTGCCATTAGATGCACCAGCACACTTTTATCTCTTTAAAAGGGAAGACAATGCCGCAGTTATGAGAACCACATTTTTTCTCTTGAAACAATTTGATTTTCCCTTGTCTGTTTTTGTGCTAATGTTTTGAACTGGACTTTTGCAGTTGGTAGTATACTGTGAATGATAACTTCATGCTGTGAATGATGTTGGGAGGAAGAAGCAGAGTCCCCCAGCCATGAGAAAGATTTGATATCTGCATTGTGAAGTTCTTGTAAATTGTAATGGAAGGAACTAATAAGTAGGAATTTTGTAATTTGGGGCTGTCCATTGGCCCTACAGGCTCTCAATTATTATAATTTGAAAATCTCAAAGTAAACATGATTCAGATCCTAGGAAGATTAATTTAGATTAATTAAAATTTTAACAAAGTCTCTCTTTGATTAGAACAAATTGTTAGTTAAGGCCACTAGGAAGCATCAACTGGCTGCGGGATCCCTGTGTATTTCTCAGCTACTTCCAAAACATTAGAATGACTTGCCAATACCTGGCAAAAAAACTGATCATGTTGTTTTTTATAATTAATTGAACAGCTAATGTACCTTTGAAGGCTGTATCTCTCTTGAATATGTTTTATAAAGTTTTGAAATTTGTGCTGTATATTAATTTAAACCTAATAAGATACCTATATTCTCATAATTGTTTTTCCTTCTAGCTCATTTTCATAAAAAGACAATTTGGGAAGTACACAATTTCCGGGCAAAATTACCTTGAAATTGAATTCTTTAAACCATTAAGCTAGCCAGTCTGCCTGCCTGCCCGCCTCCCTCTCTCTTTCTTTCCTTCCTTCCTTTTCTTTCCTCCCTTCCTTTTTTGGGGGTATCTTGTTTAGTATTAGTATTTAATATCACTTGTGAGGCTAGTGCTGTGATGGGCATCTACTGTGTGATATCCACTTAATCCATTGGTGTGAAAGCAACAAGGACTTATTTTCTCCCTTTTGTAGGCAATGACATTCCAACTGTTTTTTGACATCCTTAAATTCAGAGGTCAACAGTGATCAAATCAGGATCAAGATAGACTTCAAATATTTTCGTAAGAGCAGAAAGAAAAATGAGATCCTAACTTTCTAGTGTCCTGATCTACACATCTCTGTTGATGAATTAAAGCTATATGGGTATGAAATTTGGTACCAGAGGCTTAGGCTGCTTGAGCACCTTTTATCATGTAATAGTTCTGGAATGTGAAGATCTGAATTTTCATGGGAGCACTGATATTTCATGGCCAACAATGGATTTCTTAGGGCCTTGTCATTTCAAATTGCCATGAAGTCTGGTTATTGCTGCTCCAAATGTAAATATGAAACCGCCTCCCAATGAACTTATTGCGGTGGTGCTAACTTGTCTTGACACTCTTGCTGACAGTTCTAGTGGCCCTTAACATGGTCTACTTTTATAGTCACAGCACAGGTTTTGTGGAGAATTCAACCTAAATTTCTGGAATGAATGTCTATAGACAAGAGATATATTGGCTTTAAAAATTAAGAGGTTTGATTCTGTTTTGAATTTGGTTATCAAATGAATCTGAGCACATGACATTTTAATGCCGTTTGTCTTTTCAAATAGATTTACCTTCTAATGCATGTGACAACAGGATTTTGCTCATCAGCTAGAACATACATTTCAGAGGAGTTGTTACCTAAAATATTATCATAAGGCATAAGAAAACACACGATTTAAGTTGCCTTTCATGAACATAATTAAGAATTAATAAGCCAGTACCAGTGGCTAGTCCCCAGAATTTCCACTGTTTTGCCTTTTGTGACCTGTGTTATTAAAAGTCCATTATTTTTACAGACTTTATTAAATTGGATCTTATTAAAGCATTCTATATTTGCATTTGGTCTTTCATAATTCATTATTATTATGACATTTACTTTTTACCATCAGATCTGAAAACATATCATAAGCTACCCTTTTCTCTTGAAAGAAATGCTAATTTCAAACAGTCCTCTAATAGAAGAGAAAAGCTTTATCAGTTTTTTCATTTATTCCAGATCGTGTTAAGAATACTAATGCTAGACTTCAGTATGCTAATATCTCTGAGCTTTTTTTGGTCAAAAGCTTAGAATTATTATTTTTATCCCATGGTAAGTATGAAACCAGAAGACTTGCTACTACTGGAGAAAACACAATTCTAAAGTACAATTCTTGATTCTAAAGACTTGTGAAAATGTTGCTAAATCCTGTTTAGACCAGGATGCTGCCAGTCAATTTAACTTTGTACCATACAATATTTGTGTACCATACAATATTTGTCCTATTTAAGAAATTATTTCCTCTTAAAATTCAGTTTGTTTTTCTCATAGTCTAGGTCAACATAGCTTGCAACGTTTAAGACTAAGAATCCTATGCTGTCAGCCCCAGACACCATTTAGGGTGTGCTGCCTGCCTTTCTATATGATAGTCATTTCTATATCATTTAAGATGTAGTTGAAACTCAATATAGCAAGATTTTATATATTGATATCAGACAGGCTATCTAATTATTACTAACATAATTAGTAAAATAGTGAGTTTTCTGTTGGGGTACTAGTAAATTTATTAAACTCTGAAATGAAATTAACTTTGGCTTTTGTCTCATTTTAGATTTCTGACAATGTGCAATAGACATTTTGGCAGTGTTGTTGCACAAACCATTCGGACTCAAAAAACAGATCAGTTTCCACTTTTTCTGATTATTATGGGAAAGCGATCATCTAATGAAGTATTAAATGTGATACAAGGTAAAGTACATGTCACAAGGGGGGTAGAGTGTCTTCTTGTGTATGTGATAACATAATATTTACCATCAAAGTTGACTGTAATTCTCTATATGGGTGCACATCTTTGTATTTTCAAACATAGAATATGCTAAAGAAGAACATCTTCAAAAAGTATAGGATCTATGAAAAATGAAATATGCTGCATGAAAATCTAACAGAAATTTCTTAATAAAGTTGCACAGCCCTTTGGACAGAGCATAATCATGTTAAATGTTCAAAATTGCTAAATTCTCTAAACTAGCAATCACTTCATAATCAGTTGTCAAATATGACATTTCTTATACATGTATTGATTTCTTTCTGTAATGTTGATTAGTTGAAAGAAATGCTTAACTTCAGTTATCTAGAAAATCCAGTGACTGGATATTGCAATTTAATTGTTCACACAGTTGTAGTTGTTTCCCCTTAATTGTGTGAATTTGTGTCTAGGATGCAGTGCTAAGGCGTGAAGCTATAGGATGCCTATGAACGCATTACAGATTCTTTACAAACAAAAAAAGTGAATGTTTTTTTTTTTACTGTTACTGATAAACACCAAGGATTATTATAAAATATTACCTTATTTATAGCACAGCTTAAATTGAAAACAGCATATCTTTTCTATGCCCCAGGGAAAAAGATGTTTCAAGGGCCCCAAGCTAAAGCTTGTGTTTGAGATACTTTATTTTTACCCCTATTTAAGTCAAAAGTTCTATAGCAGATAATATGATGGGAGTGTGTGATGTAAATTCTAGTGCCTTTAAAACTCAAAATAAAACCTCTGGTATTTTATGTTTGCTCTGTAACTAGAGCATTGAGTTTCATAAACAGTCCTAAAGAAGATCTACAGGGGGAATGAATTGCGTAGGGTAAATGGATAATGAAAATAATATTTCATTCCTGTTTTCCCTGTCAGAGGCAGTATTATAATAGTGGTTCTCAAAATATGGTCCATGGTTCTGGAGGTCCTCTAAACCCTTTCAGTGGATTCATGAGGTCAAATTATTTTCATGACAGTAAAAAGACTTTTCCATTTTTTTACTGTGTTGACATTTGCACTGGTGGCACAAAATCAGTCTTGTGTAAAACTGTTGGCACCTTCACACAAATCAAGGTCATGACCAAAACTATACTAGTAGTCATATTCTTTACATCCATTATGTGCAATTAAATTATTTTATTAAATCTTTTTATACTTTGTGTGATACAATAAGAGGTATGGAGAATGCATTTCTGCTGCATTTCAGAGTACAAAGGTAGTCTCAAAGAAAAGCACTTGTGTGGTTGCTTGAGCTGAACTACTAGTCATTTTTTCTTAGAGAACATCACTTTTACTTGAAATAACTGACATACAAACTATACTTAGATAGCCTGGGTATTTGGCAAACATTTTCTACAGAATGAACAAAGTGAGTTGATCACTTCAAGAAAAGAGAGCTGACAGTACTTGTTGCCATTGATAAAATTTGAGCTTTTAAGCAAAATGTTATATCCTCCACCGTAAGACTGACAGCTTATATAATTTTCTGATGACATCAGCTTTAATGTTATCATATAGTTATGTCAACATTTAATGATATCATATAGTTATGTCAACATTAAAGATAAATGCTTAAGTCAGTAAACCAGTATTTTCCACACGACCAGTGCATGATGTTATAAAATAATGCACAGGTAAAAGATCCATTCGAAGAGTGAGCTAGGTCAGTGGATCTTAATATAGCAAAGTACAAAAAGTTCATTAATGGTTTCAAATTCCTCACATACTTGAAGAAACTTCCACTTGTCAGTTTGGGTGTATCAAAGAATATTTATAATTATTTATTACAATACTCCTCCCTTTTTCAACTATATATCTATGTAAGGCTGGATTTGCTTCATAAATTTTAGCTAAGGCATAAGACAACATATTGTAACTGGTTTAATATAGAAGTAGATGTGAGAATCCAGTTATGTTCTATTAAGCCAGACGTTAAAAACATTTGCAAAAATGGGAAAACATTACCATTCTTCTTACTAAACTTTTCCCTATGGAACATAGAGCCATTTTTCATAAAAATCTGGTGTTTATAAACATGTAATGGGTTTAGTATTATTTTTAATGAATTGATAAATATGTTTTAAGTATTTCAGCTTTAATTTCTAACACAGTAAATGTTGATAAAAATAACCCACATAAAACTTATTTCAGGAGCTCAGTAGTTGCTAAGGGTGTAAACAAGTTCTAAAAACAGAAGTTTGAAAACCACTACAGTTTGTCTCCCCCTCCGATTTCCCCCCCTTCATTAACCATGAAAGACTATGGACTCTGAGAAACAAACTGAGGGTTCCAGAGGGGAGGGGGTGGGGGGATGGGTTAGCCTGGTGATGGGTATTAAAGAGGGCACGTACTTCATGGAGCACTGGGTGTTATACGCAAACAATGAATCATGGAACACTACCTCAAAAACTAATGATGTAATGTATGTGATTAACATAACATAATAAAGGAAAAAAAGAATCTAAACAATTAAAAAAAAAGAAAGAAAGAAAGGGAAACTCAAAAGATTTGCCCAGTATACAAATCTCCATTGAAGGTACTCTTAAACTTTTTGCCATTTGTTATATATTCATAATAACTACCAGTGATCATGTGTCCTATATACAGAGGTAGTATTATCTTCATTTGACTGAAAAGGGAATTGATCCTTAGAGAGCTATAGTCAGTCATTCATTCACTTTTTATTCATTTACTAAGTGAATATTTATTAAGCCCTTGTGACATGCTAGGCAATTTCTAGGTACTAGAGATATAGTTTGTAAGTAGCGGAACTAGAGTTAGAACTATGACTACAAAACTAGTTCTGCTTTCTCAGTACCATGATTTTTTTTGTTGAGGACCACACACGCTCCCTAACATGCTGCCAGTGGTCATAAGGAAAATTGAGAAACAGACCATTGAAAGACAATGTTAGTCCATCCCTACTCCAAAATAACACCAACAAGGATGCTTACTACTTGTTGTCCTATTTCATCAATGGGACAGGAAGACCTCTGCTCAGGCCCTGAAGAAAGATGGGTTCTTTGCCCATAGTCTTGAAAGAAGAGAAGAATTGCTATATCTCTATGGATTTCTCTGTTGTAGATGTATCCAAAGCAAGCAACAGGAGAATGCATTCAGGAAATGGCATATATCTGCTATACATTTGTTATGGCCTTGGACAGGGAATAAAATAGCATTAAGGAAAATCAAACATTTTAATACTCTCATAAAACCAATATAACATTGTATGGTAACTAACTGGAATTAAAATTAAAACTTAAAAATAAATAAATACTCATAAAGTTTATGGTATAGTCATTTGAAAGCAGCTGAAAGAGAAAAATATCAACTGGGCAAAAAAAGAAGTCAGTTTTTTCAGAAAATGAATTACTATCTGCTTCACCAAAGAATTTTTAATGATAGGAGATAATTCTAAATAGTGTATTGAGGTGGCAAAGAGAACAGGCTTTTGAGTTACTCATTTAGTTTCAAATTCTTGTCCCACCACTTAATCAGCCTGACCTTGATTGCACAGGCTACTCCAGCTCTCAAGGCTTCATTTTTCCGACTCTTTAAAGTCAAAATCCTGATGATACCTTGGAAGAATTGTTGTGCAGGTTAAATGAGGTAATATATATAAAGTGCTTAGCCTAATTAATGGCATATAAACAAATGGTAGTTGTTGCTAGTATTTTTAAGTAGATATGTTTTTGTAACTTGAAAGAATTTTTGATTCTCATTACTTGTACATTGTTCTTCATAGAGCTGAAAATCTTTCTCAACAGATGGTTCCTTCAAATCTACTGTATATGAAATTTCAACTGCCTATATACTGCTTTACTCTTTCACAGTGAACACATGAAACTTTTCAATGAAGATATGAAAGTATTTTAACAGATAGTAGCAGAGTCTGTCATTTTTATTAGACTGTAGCTGTTCCTTACTGATTAGTTCTAGAATGACTTTTCCATTTTATAATAACTTTACTAATGTGAAGTTTGGCAATCTCCATGTGTTGCTAGGTAACACCACAGTGGATGAGTTAATGATGAGACTCATGGCTGCAATGGAGATCTTCACAGCCCAACAACAGGAAGATATAAAGGATGAGGTAAGATGAAAGGTTAAGTAGACCTTTAATAAAAGGATTTTGATGAAATAATTTGTCAAATGGAGACGCTTGCCTATGTCATGATTGATAAATAAGGATGATGAAGATGCATTTCCAGATTAACCAAGGACTTTTATGCCATTGGGTTTACCTTTCAGTCCATTCTTTTCATGACCCCAAGACCCAACAATTTGTTTAACTTTATGGACATTTATACTTGTTAGATTTGGAGTGGTGGCAGGAGGTCAATTTGCAGGAAATGAATTCTGAAGCATATTTACAAAAGAAACGACAATCCAGGAAATCCTGTGCACTATGTGGTTTTTTCACTCACTTTCAGGATCCTCTTACTCTTTTAAATATTGAGGTTGATTAGCAATAAACACATTTTACATTTTTGAAGCACTGTGAGAATTAGTAAAAGATTCCAGAATTCTGAATTTCTCAGTCTCCTGAATATATTCAGTTGGTATAGATGGCATGAGTGTGGAACCTCAAGTAAAATAATAATAACAGCAATATTGATCATGACAATAGTACGCAACACTTACTGAATATTTATAATGTGCGAAGCACTGAGCTAAGCACTTTACATATATTATCTCATGTGATCTCAAAACAACCCCATGAGGTTGTATATGAGTCACACACAGTTCTGGCAGAAAACATATGGCACTTTCAAACTGGTTTATATGAGAACAGTTTAACAAGAGAACTGTTTATAAAGGTAAGGGCAGGGTTTATGGAAGTCAGCAGTGGATAGTACCGACTCTAGGACTAAAGGGAGCCATTACCACCTGTAGGCCTAAAGGCCTTGGAGAGGGCAGTATATCGAGAGGACTATATCTGATAGAGGAATATAGTCAGCGCTTGGTGACCTGTTAGGGAGGAAACCAGGGAATAGCTTTACTTTCCTTCCATACTCTGATCTTTTGCTAATATTACCTACCTAACCTGTATGCTCAAAGGTGAGAGCGCCTCCCTAGGCAAAAAACTAGGTGAAGCATGGATACTGAGGGGCAAATGGTAGATAGTCTAGCACAGATCGGTATTATATTATCTCCACTTTTCAGGTGAGAAAAACTGAGAATCAGAAGGGTTAGGGGCGCTTGGGTGGCTCAGTCGTTAAGCGTCTGCCTTCGGCTCAGGTCATGATCCCAGGGTCCTGGGATTGAGCCCTGCATCGGGCTCCCTGCTCCACGGGAAGCCTGCTTCTCCCTCTCCCACTCCCCCTACTTGTGTTCCCTCTCTCACTGTGTCTCTCTCTGTCAAATAAATAAATAAAATCTTTTAAAAAAGGGGGGAGTTAAGTTAATTTACCCAAGATCACATGACTAGTAGGACCTATAATAATCTCCAGTGATTATTAGTGCTCTATCAGTCAAAAAATTTCTGGATTTGGAGACTAAAGATAAAATATGAAACACATGTTAGCATTTGTTAATTTGAGATGCTCAGTTCACAGGCATTTCTTAAATTGTCCTTCCTAATATTTTTAACTGAAAGAAATTTTTCATGGACAAGTAGGGAGAGTTTGATTTCTGAGCAATGATGAAAAGTTTCCAGCTATAGTGAGTGTTTTCAATATAATACCCATTAGCTATTGCAAGTGGAAAACATGTAGACAATTTTAATATAAGGTAGAACTATTGTATTTTACCTTACTTGCTTGTCTCTTTCTTCTATTAGACTGAGTTATATCATATTCACATTTATAACTGTATCCCCTAACAGCGTACCTAGGACAAAGTAGCTACTCAGTAAATTTTATTAAATGATTGAATAAATTAATACATGGGAAGAATTCACATGTAAATTTTATTAAATGATTGAATAAATTAATACTTGGGAAGAATTCACATGAAATAATGTTACTTGAAAAAAATAATTCTTGATTGCAGTGGCATAAAACCTGATGTGTTCATATTAACAAATATGAAAACTTAGAGTGCTGTAACTAGTTTAGAGTTTTATACACTTTAGGTTTCTTTTATTGCTGGAAAAATGATGTTTATAATTTTCTTTAATAGTCAGTGTTTCATTTACTCAAAGAAAAGGTAATCAGGTATATGGTGGAAAGATGTTTATCTGTTACTCTATAAATTGACAGTGACATTTTGAAATAATGAAGTACTGTACTTACTTAGGAATTTGTAATAATAGGTGTGTTGCCATTCAAGATTACGTTTATCCTAGAATAGAGGCATTGATTGACAATAATTCACTAAACACATTCTTCAGCCATTTAAATCTTGAGTCTCATTAGTACTAGATTTACAGATTATGCTGTATAATAATATGAATGCACAATATTTGCATGCATATTCCCAGTTCATTCTTTCATCTTAATTTGTGTTCCTCGTAATTCATTGGTAAAGAAATTGACTTTAATTCCTTTAATACTGAGCACAAAATTTAATATGAGGGTTACAGGAAAAATCCAAGGCTCCATATTAATTGAAATTTTTATTGAAATTTAACTGCAAGAGGTAAGGATTTCTCTTTGTTTTTAGAGTGTCTTCATGAAAGTTATCATTCAATGCATAAGTAGAGTTCCTAAGAAAAGCCTTTCTGGGTTCAAAGACTTGTTTTGGACTATGCGTAGATCATAATGGATTTGGTATCTGCTGAGTATGTGACAAGAAACACTGTCCCTTGTAATTGTGAATTTGCCTTTACTCTTCAAAAAAAATTTCCAGTAACACTTTACCTTAAGCTTGCAATGAAAATCAAATTCATAAACAGGTTTGGAGAATGGCTTCCTAGACCTGAATTTATATAAACTTAACTTTGGTTCAGTTACATCCAATACTTCAGTGATTCCATTGTATTAGTGCAACCAGGGATACCTATACTATACAGTGTTTTTATTAAATAGAACCAAGCCCAAACATTCATACTCTGAATGATTCTTTAATAGCCCAGAATGGACTAACCTTTATATCGCTAATTGTTCTATTTCTAATCAGGAAGTATACATTATATGAGCCTCTTGTTTTGATAGAACTGCCAATATAGCTTTATTCACAGACATTCTCATTAATGGTATTAGTTTGGTTTTTTAAATGTTAACTGAGCATCTGTCAAGTATATAGCACTGGGCTCAGTCTTGGGGACAGAGGTACTTTGCCACAATGTAGGCTTATTGGCAAATATCACTACATGATGGTAGCCTGTTTAGAATCAGAACATGTAGACTCTATTTAGAATCAGAACATTTAGAATCGGTTTATGCTTACAGCCTGGTTCCAAACAGTAGATACTTTCTAACATGTAAATAGATTCAGTTATTTTCATATGCCCTATTTTCTTTTGCTATTAGTAATCCAGAAACCTTTGATTACTAAGAGTTTATGATACTTAGTTCCTAATCTGTTTATTATTTCATTCATTTCTTTCTTCATCCATTCAATACTTAATTTATTTAGAATCCTGTGTATCATAGGTACAAGGATTACTTCTTTCCAGATTTTCTATTTCTTCCTGATTTAGTCTTGTTAGGTTGTATGTTTCAAGGAATTGATCCATTTCTTCTTAAATGATCTAATGTATTTGCATATTGGCATATAATGGTTCATAGTAGTCTCTTACAATCCTTTGTATTTCTGTGCTATGAATTGTAATATCTCCTCTTTCATTTCTCATTTTATTTGAGTCCTCTTTTTTTTCTTGGTCAGTCTAGTGAAAGGCTTGTTAATTTTATCTTTTTTAAAAAAATCAGCTCTTAGTTTCATTGATCTTTTCTTCTTTTTGAAATATAATTAACATAAAATGTATTAGTTTCAGGTATACAACATTGATTCAATAATTCTATATATTATTCAGTGTTCACCATGATAAATGTAGTCACACTGATCTTTTTATTGTCTTTTAATCTCCATTTCTTTCTGCTCTGATCTTTGTCATTTTTCCCTTCTGCTAACTTTGGGCTTTGTTCTTTTCATAGTTCCTTGAGATGTAAAGTTAGATTGTTTATTTGAGATCTTTCTTGTTTCTTGAGGTAGGCATTTATCACTATGAGCTTCTTGCTTATAACTTCATTGGCAGTATCCCATAGGTTTTGGTACATTGTATTTCCATTTTCATTTGTCATAAGGTATTTTTTTATTTCTTCTTTGATTTCTTCTTCGACCCACTGGTTGTTCAGCATCATGTTGTTTAAGCTCCACATATTTGTGAATATTCCAGTTGTCTTCTTGTTGTAATTGATTTCTAGTTTCATACCATTTTGGTTGGAAAAAGATTGATATGATTTCAGTCTTCTGAAATTTATTAAGATGTTTTTGTGTATGCCCTAACATATGGTTTATCCTGGACAGTGTTCCATGTGTGCTTAAGATAAATGTGTATTCTGTTGCTTTGGATAAAATGTTATGTATATGTTTGTTAAGTCCACTCTGTCCAGCACATCATTTTATTCAAATGTTTCCTCATTGATTTTCTGTCTGGATGATATATCCATTGATGAAATTGGGGTATTAAAGTCCCCTACTTTTATTGTATTGCTGTCTCTTTCTCCCTTTTAGGTCTGTTAATATTTGTTTTCTATATTTAGGTACTCCTATGTTGGGTGCATAAATATTTTAAAAAGGATTCTTTATCCAATGTTTTTTCTCCATAGTTAGTCCCAGATCACAGAAGATAATAATTTCTCTCATCTTGATTTGTATATTCATTTCATAAATATTTATTGATCTTTTCCTATGTACTAGACACTATGTAAAGCACCAGTACCACAGCTATGTGCAAGATAGATTAGGGCCATTGAGCTTACAACACAGCAACTCCAATATAGTCTGTGAAGTAACCAAGTAGATAAAGCCCCGGGAACACCTAGTCAGAGTGAGCTAGACATGCTTTGTAGGCAACTTGACATAGAGCACACAGAAGGGCTCTTACGTTCTCCAGGGCAAGCTATGAGGTAGATAGAACAGGTGAGAATGAAGATAATAACAGTCACTCTTCAGGTTCCTGCTACATGCCAGCCATAGGTATTTCTC